CACCTAGCATTAAGACCTGAGTTTCCAAACACCATTCTTCAATAAAAAGAACCAAGGCTCCTTGGAAAATTCGTTAATTCCAAGACTGGGACAGGGAAAATACAAGATGAGTCTGGAACATCTTATGGTCAGAAAGCAAGCAAGTGCTAAAAAAAAGGATAGGGGTATGTCAAAACAGCACAGGAGTCAACCTGAAAGACCCAAGCAGTGCCCAAGCTAGAACACTTTGATCAACAAAATCAATAACAATAATAATGGATTATAACCCGTAGAATAAAATAAACATCCATGAGTCTATACTGATTATGTATATACGCATCTCTGGTGATGCAGTGGTTAAGCGTTTGGCTGCAAACCAAAGGTTAGCAGATCAAATCCACCAGCCGCTCCATGGAAACCCTGTGGGGCAGTTCTAGTCTGTCCTATAGGGTCGCTATGAGTCAGAAGTGACTCGATGGCAATGTGTTATAAGGGAAGAGAGGCAGCTCTCCCTCACAGAAGAAGAATTTCAATTAGTAAATGCAGAAGAAATGAGGAAAATATAAAATCACCGTTAGAATACCATATATATTCATTGTTGCAGACAAGATCCACTGATAGAAGCTAAAGTAGTGGGCAACAGTTTAAGAAACAGTATAGTTCTATATATTCTAAGTATTTCCCCCAAGATAGCTATTAATTGCAAAGGGAAAAATAGTCATTTTACCGTGGAAAAACCAGGCAGATACCACCTTAACCAAGTGATCAAGGTTGATACTACCAGTAATAAGACATATCATCATCATGTACTCCTTGGTGAACTGAGAAGGGCATATAACTTTTGTGATACCCTTCCCAGAAAGCTATAACCTTAATCTAACCATAAGAAACAACGAAACAAACCCAAACTGGGGGATATTCTACAAAATAATGACCAACATACTCTTCAAAAGTGTCATGGTCACGAAAGATAAAAGACTGGAAAACTGTCATAGATCGGAGGAAATTAAGGAGACGTGACATCTAAATGCAAACGTGGGACTCCGGATTGGAACCCAGAACAGGAAAAGGACATTAGTAGAGAAACTGAGGAAATCCAAATAAAATCTGTAGTTTAGTTTAAAATATTGCACCAACGTTAATTGCTTAGTTTTGATTATCATAGTAGAAGCCCTAATGGAGCAACAATAAAAGCACCCAGCTGCTAACCAAAAGGTTGGTGGTTCAACCAGCCGCTCCACGAGAGAAAGATGTGGCAGTCTGCTTCTGAAAAGATTTACAGCTTTGGAAACCCTGTGAGGCAGTTCTACTCTGTCCTACAGGGTCACTCCGAGTCAGAATCAACTCGACAGCAATGGTTTTTTTTTTTTTTTTTGATGTTCATACTACAGTTATGGAAGATATTAACATTAGGGGAAGCTGGATGAAGAGTGTCTTAGTTATCTAGTGCTGCTATAACAGAAGTACCACAAGTGGAGGGCTTCAACAAACAAAAGTTTATTGTCTCATAGTCTAGTAGGCTAGAAGTCCAAATTCAGGGCGTCAGCTCCAAGGAAACGTTTTCTCTCTCTGTCGGCTCTGGAGGAAGGTCCTTGTCATCAGTCTTCCCTTGGACTAGGAGCTTCTCAGCGCAGGGATCCTGGGTCCAAAGAATGTGCTATTCTCCTAGCTCTGGTTTCTTGGTGGTATAAGGTCCCCGTCTCTGCTTGCTTCTCTCTTTTATATTTCAAAAGGGATTGGCTTAAGACACAACCTAATCTTGTAGATTGAGTCCTGCCTCATTAACATAACTGTCTCTAACCCACCTCATTAACATCACAGAGGTAGGATTTACAACACATAGGAAAATCACACCAGATAACAAAACAGTGCACAATCACAAATAGTAGGGATCATGGCCTACCCAAGTTGACAGATATTTTTGGTGGACACAATTCAATCCATGACATTCCATCCTTTGGCCCCCAAAAATTCACCCCATTATATCACAGCAAAAAAATCTTCAACCAACTCCAAGTCCAAAATGCAAAAATTCCTCATCATCTGTGAAATCTAGAATACGAATTATCTGCTTCCAAAGTACAATGATGGAAGAGGCACAAGCTAGAAATGTCCATTACGAACAGGAGCAATGGGAGGGAAAGAAGGCATAACAGGCACCAAGCAAGTCAGCAGAACATATTACATTAGCCCTCAAGGCTTGAAGATAATCCTCTCTTCTCTGAGACCATTTAGACAATGGCCCTGTCCTCCAGACTCTGGGTGTTGACCACACTCTCCGGATACTGAGTGAAGGACCGTTGGCCCTGGGCTTCAGTTGTACCTTCCAGCCCCAATGGAATGGCAACTCTGCTCCCTTGGCTTTGGGCAGGCCCCTGGTAGCACAGTGGTTAAGAGCTCGGCTGCTATCCAAAAGTTGGCAGTTCAAATCCACCAGCCGCTCCTTGGAAACCCCATGGAGCAGTTCTACTCTGTCCTATAAGGGCACAAGTCGGAATCAGCTCAAGAGCAATGGGTTTTGTTTGTTTGTTTTTTTATTCTCCTAGTCCAACCGAGTGGCAAGTCCACTGAGTTAGCTCTGCTTCCTGTGTTCCTTTTCAGCTTCTGCTTCCTGGTTCCTTGGCCTGTCGGCCCCGCGGGCTTCACTGCTCCTGTCTGCCCTGCTGGGGCAAGTGTTCCAAAGCTCTTTAGCTCCACTGCTGGGAGGCACACCACTCCTCCAGTAAACTTCAGCCAGAAGGCACTCAGCTCTCTCACTGTGGGCTAGCTTCAGAGCTGTCTCTTGCCAGTCTCCTTTTTTTTCTTTTTTAATCACACTTTAATTTCAGGTGACCAGTGAATATATTACATAATTATTGGTATAACTGTGAACATTCTTTTTTTTTCCACTGTACCCTAGATGAAGGTTTACAGAACAAACCAGTTTCTCATTAAACAATTAAAACCCATATTGCTTTGTGACATTGGCGCCAACCCCACAACATGTAAACACCCTCCCCTTCTTGACCCTGGGTTCCCTATTACCAGCTTTCCTGTCCCCTCCTGACTTCCCATCCTTGCCCCCAGGCTGGTGTGCCCACTTAGACTCGTTTTGTTCTATAGGCCTGTCCAATCCTTGACCAAAGGGTGAACCTCAGGAGTAACTTCATTAATGAGCTAAAAGGGTGTCCGGGGCTACACTCTCGGGGGTTCTCCAGTCTCTGTCAGCACTGTTTCTTGCAGGTCTCCTGGTTCTGCTGTCGCCATTTCTCTGCTGCTGCTTCTCACCATCTGTGCCATCTCCAGTATAACGGCTCTCCTCAGTTCCTTCTGAGTCCTCTATTCATTCACAGTTTCAAAACCGCTTCCTCATTTTAGGTATCTGTTAGAGCACGACCCCACTCTCTTGGTACGAAATTCTGTCTTAGTTATCTAGTGCTGCTATAACAGAAATACCACAAGTGGAGGACTTTAACGAAGAGAAATTTATTCTCTCACAGTCTAGGAGGCTAGAAGGCCAAATTCAGGGCGCCAGCTCCAGGGGAAAGCTTTCTGTCTCTGTCAGCTCTGGAGGAAGGTCCTTGTTATCAATCTTCCCTGGTCAAGGAGCTTCTCAGTGCAAGGACATGCTATGCTCCCAGTGCTTCTTTCTTGGTGGTATGAGGTCCCCCTGTCTCTCAGAGAGCCTCTTTTATATCTCAAAAGAGACTGGTTTAATATACAACTTAATCTTATAGATTGAGTCCTGCCTCATTAACATAACTGCTACTAATCCTATCTCATTAACATCATAAAGACCGGATTTACAACACATAGGAAAATCACATCAGATAACAAAATTGTGGACAATCACAGGATACCGGGAATCACAGCCTAGCCAAGGTGACAGATATTTTTGGGGGACACAATTCAATACAGGAATTCTACTATTTCTGTAACTCTTCTATAAGTCTAAAGTTATTTGAAAAGAAAAAGTTAAAGAAAATACTGTACATCTAAAAATCAAAAAGAGAAATACATTAACTAAATATTACTAATTTCTAGCAGTGGAATTTCAGATTAATTGTGTGGAGGAAGTAATGATCTACGCAGAACATTTCACTTCACTAGAGATATTACACAGAAAATGTGTAACCAATACAGAGGTATTTAAAACTGAGTGTGATGATATTTAGCCTAGCAATATAAGATTTTCTTTACTTCCCTCATTCACCCCAATCAAAAAACCAAACCCACTGAGTCGAGTTATGAGTCATTCACCCCACTAAACCTAAATTTAGAATTTTAAGTGCCAGAATTTTAAATTTTAAAATCCAGAATTTTAGAAGCCATGTTCTCTATATGGTCTTCTTAAGGAGCTTTTAATTCCCTCTCACAGACCTCTTTCACGATTTCTTCTTCTCCCTCTTTGCTCTTTGTTACAACTTTATAGTATAAAAAGGTACCAAATTAAAGTTTTCTGTGCATAACTTGGAATGCTTCAGAGAAAAGTAACTAATAAATTATTATAACGTAAATTAGGGTACTATTGTGTTTAAATCACAAAATTCTGGAGGAAAATAAGACTATCTTTCTAAACAAGAACGTATTTTTAAAACACTTCCTACATAGGTAGAAACTTCACATTGCTTATTTTGCTACTCTTCGCTTATATGTGAGGTGCGAAAGGATGTATTTCAAATAGCAATTTTCAGCATATGTCTCGTATACAACTCTTCTACATCTGTAGTTTTGTTAATGAAGGAACATGAGGCACTCTAATATATTTGGTCATAAGAGAAATGCTGAGTTATGTTTTATATAAAATCTAAAATGAGGCCTGGAAAGTATACTGGTACATACTACAATGATTTAAACAAGGCTGGTTCCAGAAAGGGTTTCCTGGTTAACCCTCAGTTAATTAGGATACACATTCCCCAAAAACACTAATTAGTCAAAGTTTTACAGTATTCTCTCTAAAATTTTATTATAAAAACAAATAATAAAATACTTTCAATAAACATAATTCTAAAAATAATAAATAGGTTAAAAATAATGCATACCTCACGTAAATCAGAAGATGAAGACTTTCTCCTTTTTCCTTCTGTGACAATTTCTATAAAAACCAAAGATATGATAAAAATTATCATTTAACACCTAAATGAAACAAACAATTTAATAAAAGAGATTGAAAGTATCCCTTGTTTTAAATTAACTTCTTGTTAGATTTAGGATTTACACTGATACATTTTACAGAACCTGAAGGACTAAACGTAAAGGTCAAAAAAGGATAATTATTATAATTACATGTGACAGAACACCAGATTGTCATAAAATGTCTCTACTACACAATATATGTATAATGACAAAAGAAAAAAGGAGGAAACTTAGCTCTAAGTACTAAATCAGAACTTCTTTGGCAAAAGACCTAGCACCCATCAGGTATTCAATCAATGTTGGTTGAACCATCTGACGGACAAATTCTTATAATCTGAAGGGGGAAAAAAAAGGCAGAAGGTAAGATCTATAAGTTGGAAACATTCTACAAAAACATGTCCAGTTCTACTAAATATCTAAGCACACTATACAAGTGGGTACCAGCTTAACTCTTTCCTCACCAATATTTTTTCAGACTTCCCTATGGATATTTCCTTTGTGAATTATTTCATTCAATCAGCAAATATTTATTGAATGTCTACCATGTGTCAGTCACTTCACTGTGGCAGGCAGTAATTATAGTGTAGTAAGCAAATTACACACAGTCCAGTTTCCTGGAACTTACAGTCTATGTAGTATATCACAAATTTCATAACAAAAATAAATGATACGGATCCATATGTATGTGGTCACCTATTTATGACAACAAGCCCTAGTGGCACGACAGTTAAGTGATCAGCTACTAACTGAAAGGTCTGCAGTTCAAACCCACCAACGGCTCTGCAGGGGGAAAAGACTTGGAGATCTGCTCCCATAAAGATTAAACCAAAAACCAAACCCACTGCTGTTGAGTCGATTCCTACTCATAGCAACCGTACAGGACAGAGTAGAACTGCTCCACAGGGTTTCCAAGGAGCAGCTGGTGGATTCCAACTGCTGACCTTTTGGTTAGCAGCCAAGCTCTTAACCAGTGCGCCACCAGGGCTCCCCATAAAGATTACAGCCTAGGAAATTCCATGGGGTAGTTCTACTCTATCAACTCAACGACAGACAATAACAACATCTATGACAAAGATATCACTTCAGTTCACTGGGAGAGGAATGATCTTTTCAATAACGACGTGGAAGCAATTTGATAACCAAATGGAAAAATAAATAAATCCTGATCCCTACCTCATACCATACACAAAAATTAATTAGAAATGGATCATAAATTTAAAGGTAAAGCAAATAAAGCTTCTAGAATAAAACATAGGAGAGTATCTTCATGACACTGGGTTAAGCAAGGATTTCTTAAACAGGGCACAAACACTCTTAACCATAAAGAAAAAGATTAATAAACTATACTTCATTAAAATTAAGAACTCAATATTCATCAAAAGTCATCGAGAGTGAAAAGGCAAGCCACAGACTAGGAGAGGATTATTTGTAATAAATATATCTGTCAAAAAATAAATTATCTGTCAAAAATATATCTGCCAAAATATATAAAGAACTCCGACAAAGCAGTAAGAATAAGCAAGACAATCCAATCTTAAAAATGGGCAAAAGAAATATCTAGAACAGGCAAATGCACGGAGACAGAAAGTAGACTAGCAGCTACCAAGGGATGGAAGAACAGGGAGTTATTGCTTAACAGGTAGAGTTCCCATTTGAGGCGAGGAAATTTTTTTTTTTTTATTCTAGTTTAAATGAAGTTTACATTTCAAGTTAGTCTCCCATACAACATTTTATACATACATTGTTATGTGACCCTAATTGCTCACCCCATTCTGTGACAGCACACTCCTCCTTTCCACCCGATTCCCCATGGCCATTCAACCAGCTCCTAACCCTCTCTGCCTTCCCATCTCATGAGGTGAGGAAAATTTTTTTGAAATAAATAGTGGCGACAGCTGCACAACATTGTGAATATAATTAATACCACCATACTCTACACTTAAAAATGATTAACATGGCAAATTTTATGTTATATTTTACAATAAAAAAGTCAAGAGCCTTGAATAGGCACTTCACAAAAAAAAAGGTCCAAATGGCCAATAAACATATAAAAAGGTACTCAATTTCATTATCAGTGAAATACAAGTTAAAATGGCAATGTGATACCATTACACAGCCCTCAGAATGCGTTAAAATAAAGAAAACTGAAAACAGCAAGTATTGGTCAGAGACTAGAACTTTCATACACTGCCAGTGGGAATATAAAATAGTATATCTACTTGGCCATCTACTTGCTAAACAGTTGCCTACTCTATGTCCAATGACTACCTTGCTAGATATATAACCAAGAGAAAGAATGCTTATGACCACCAACAGACATGTATAAGAATTCAAATTATCTTTGTTCTTATTAGCCAAAAACTGGAAACAACCCAAATGTCAACCACCAGGAGCATGGATAAATAGAGGTACATTCATACAATGGAAAACTATATAGCAATTAAAAAGAATAAATTATGCTATATACAACATGAATACATTTCACAGGCACTATGTTTAAAGGAAACCAGACACAGAAGTATGCATACTGTATGATTCTACTTATGTGAAATTCAAGATCAAGTAAAACTTACCTATGGTGATACTAATCAAAATAGTTATTGGGAAGGGACACAAGTGAGCCTTCTGGGATGCTGAAAATACTTTATATCTTGAACTAAGTGATGGTGATGCAGTTATATGTATACAAGTATAAAAAGTTCATCAAACTATATACTAAAGATATGTGTACTTTACTGTATGTAATATCTCAACTTAAAAAGTAACTTAAAATAACAATTAATTAGAACAAATGAACTATAGCTTATCCAGAAATCTATACAGCTGAAATAATTTCTCTGAATTAAGGTCATAATACATAGCATTAATTTTACTATATGCATTTCTTGAAGCAAGTACTGATGTAAAAATTATTTTATCCTATATACTTCAGCTTCTGATAAGTTCAAATAATTTCAATATTATATCATTCTTTAACTATATTACAAAAAATAACTTTTAAAATAAACAGTAAGAAAGATTTCACTTTGTAGAAATTCACTTTCTAGTCAATTTTACTTAAATACATACATTTAAAAAAAAAAAAGTCTCACATGAGACTAAACGGGCAGCTCCTGTCCAGAGATGAGACTGAGCAGGCAGAGAGGGTCAGGATCTGGTTGAATGGACACGGGAAATCCGGAGTGGAAAGGAACAGTGTGCTATCACAGTATAGGGAGAGCTACTAGGGTCCCGTAACAATGTGTGCATAAATTTTTGTATGAGAAACTAACTTGAATTGTAAATTTTCACTTAAAGCACAATTTTTAAAAAAATGAAAAAAAAAAAGCTGAGTGCAAGGCACCATCAAATTTCAAAATATCTTAAATAAAACCATGTGGAAAGGGCAGCCTGTTCACTGTGATTCCCCACTGGGTGAAAAAAAGAGTATCAGCTGCTTACATTGCAGCTTATAGATTAGTATGTACAAACTGACTCATCGGGTTAAAAGTGCTTCTATCCTGTTGTGCGACATTTCCACATTTCCTTTAAATAACACCACTGTGATTTCCCAAATTTTAGGGGTTTTTAAAATTGAGTTGCTCCGTCTTACTCTAGATTGATTCTGGAGTGTTTTAATAAACATATGATGTACCTGTACTTAAGACTGTCTGGTATAGTATAGTGCTTAGAGTACAGACATTAAACGCAGACAACCTAAATTTGTATCTTGGCTTACTAGTTGTGACTTCTCTGAACATCAAGTTTCTCATCTGTAAAACAGGGGAGAGTATGTGCCTTTTCAATTGTTAAGATTAAATGAAATAGTCAATATCAGAAGTATTTAGCATTATGTCTGGCATGTAGTTAGTGAAAATAAATGGTAACTATTATTACTACAATGTTTTATATTAAAATATCCCTCTTTAAGAGACCTCAGTATATTAGTATTAATATACAAGAAAATCTCTCTAATTATTCTCATTCTAAATATACTACTCAAACAATTAAAAAGCATGACTTTTTCCCAAGTAGTTTGTGGAATCATTCACTTATTTATTCTGTAAACAGTTATTTGGAAAAATAATACTTACCACCATCACCAGACACCATGCTAAGTGCTTTACACAAATTACTTCATTCAATCTTTATAAAAGTTTTATGAGATCAATAACAGTATTGTCCCTATTTTAGAGATAAAGAAATTTATGTTTAAAGAATCCAAATAACTTGGCCAAGGTCACCATGGTGATTCATCACCGGTCTGATTCCAGGGGTGGCATTCTTAACCAGTACACACTAGACATGCTGGAAGTTATGAAGCTATAAGATGAATAAGACAGTCCCTATCACAGAGTTAACAGTATAGCAGCAGAGATTAGACAATTCACCACAGCTAAAATATATGATGAAATCTGATAAACATTATATAAGAAGTATAAACACCCACAGAAGTTCAGAAATGAATTTTTTTTTTTTTTTTTAGTTTGTTAGATAGTTCTTGGAAAGCTACAATTCAAAAGGGCTTTGAACAATGAATAAGCTTTACACAGGCAAAAATGGGCAGGAAGGTCATTCTAGTGCCAAGTGCAGACCACAGGTGGGTGAGGTATCAATATCGGCATCTACCAACTAGGATGAAGCAGGCCACAAGAGGCATACTCCTAAATTATTGAAGACACAGATTAGTTATTCATCTGGGACGCAGGACTGAGACAGCACCATATGTCAAAGTTCCAGTCTGATTCTTTAAGGCCACTCAATCCTACCCACAAATGACTTCCTGTGTTACCATGTCCCTCGAATCTACTTTCCGATTCTCTGGCTTGCATTATCAGGGCTGGGAATCCCATTCACCGCCCTAGACGTCAATCCCTACAGCCTGTTCCCTTGCTATTCTCTCATCTCTCGTGTACTTCAACTCTACATTCTTCATCTCTTCCCCTAGCCCACTAAATTCTTTTCCAGAATCAATACAAC